CCGGCAGCTACAATGCCACCGGCGGCACCGGCAGCTACAACACCTCTTGGAACGGGGGCAACGACAACACCGGTGGCACATGGAACAACGACGGCGGCGGAGACGGTGACACCGCTGCTGGCAGCGGCGGCACGACTTCGACATGGAATGCCTGGGGCGAAGGCCAGTCCCGTGGAGCCAGGTATCGGCGACGGCAACGTGAAGCTCGAGCTGCCGAAGGCGGTGGTGACGATGATGAGCATGTCGAGGTGGCGGCAGATGAAGCACCCTCAGGCGATCAGGAGCTTGTTGCAGTGCCAGTGGCAGTGGCCCCAGCTCCTGCAGCCGCCTCGCCTGCACCGGCAGTGGCTGTGGAAGCTGCACCGACACGGCCGCCAACCGTTCCTTGGCTTGAACAGGTAGTGTGTTGTTCTTGTTGACTCGGTTTCCGTTAAGAGACACAAAGAAACAGACACTCAGGCTTTGGGGCCACCTGGGCTTTCTGTTGTGCCTCGGCTGATGAGATGAATCTGATTCAAGCAACCTCCGGAGTCGATCGTTTAGAAACCCTCGCTTTGTCCACCCGACCCAGTGAGCCAGTGAGATTAACTTCTGAAGTACCTGTCACTTCTGGGGTTTCTGGGATAGGACAAGCTATGTTGCGGCCTACTGAACTAGTGACACAAAAAAAAACCAAGGAGCCGCCGCCTCATGCCGTTCCCTCATGCCCGATCTGTTTGTCAGCGACGTGGCGGACTATGGCCATCGGCAACGGCGGCACTCGCTTGAGCAATGGCTTTTTGCTTGCTTGCGGCCACGGGCCATTTCATGGTGCGTGCCTCCAGGAGATGGTGAGGGTGGGCCGCGAGGGGGGGACTGTGGTCTCCTGCCCCGTGTGCAGAAGAAACCTGGGGGAAGCCTGGGTGAATGCTATCGTGAACGACACCCAGCAGCTCCCTTGTTTTCAGATCGCCGGGACCGGGGCAGTGCAAGACGGCGGAGCTCCCAATGCGGCATCGTCGAATGGTGGCGGTGGGCCCGGTCCAGTTGCTCCTGCAGCCGTGGCGGAGACGGCCGAGCCGCCAGAAAATACGGTGGCGACTGGCGGCGAGGCTGAGCACCGTGAGCCTCCCTTAGCCAACGAACCGCCCGCA